TTCAGCCCCGCGTGCAACGCCGACGCTCATATGGAGCAGTCTACGCCGCCGCCTCCCAGGGTCCTGCTGTCGCGTTCTTCCAAGAAGCAGGCACCGCCGCATTCTTCCGATGTACTGACATGTTTGCTAGCAATATAAAGTCGTCTACTGATAGAACGATTTTCAAAAATCGTTCCACAGAAAATGACCCTAGGTAAAATCACATATTTATAATCACCGGCATTAATTTAGATTTTTTTGTATTTTTGAAAAACATTTTTTGGCCAAACAATTTAACTGAAAACTCATATATAGTATTGTTTTTGTAAAACATTTTGTGGCTGGGTTCCATGTATTATTTTTGTAATCTTAAAAAAAAAGTGTATCAGCATGTCTCTTAGACGTTGGAGCAGCACTGCTCTTTCTCTCCAAAAAGGGAGACCGATAGCACATGCGGGAGAAAAATGCAAGAGAAAAGGGGCTCTCATCAAGCCATTGCTTGTCCCTCGGATGGCTGAGATGTTGCTACTGCTTAAGTTAGTAGTAGCTAGTAACTACTACTGCACCCGATCCTGGTCTGCTCTAGCGTGGCAATGATATTACGAGTCTGCAGCTAATAATTACATGGAAAATTCTTAAACTATTATGCGATTCTTATCTCAGTCTCTCAAATAACTATGAGTTGTGGAATGTTGGCATCATTTATACGAACCTACTTATAATATAAGCGCACCGTGATGTTTTAGCATTATTTCTTATGGTTATTTCGAGATTTTGAGAGTGTTTTTGGTCGGTTGGAGATTGCACATGGATGAATAGTATCATGAATGCTAGTAATTCTACGTCTCAACGTACAAATGGTTATGGATTATTGCCTCAGTTAATTATATTTTATGTAGTGTATTTGCAAACGTGTATGAAAATGAAATACGACTCATAATAAAATCTGATATTAGAACAATATGCACATATTTCGAACAATATGAGCTTTATTCATCAGGCATATATATTGCTGGATATTACAAATAAAAGAATAACAATCAAAATAGTTCAGTGACACTGTCCATACAAAGGACGAGGCACTTACATGAAAAGAAACACACCAAAAGCGAAAGCTGCTCATCAAACCGGCTACATACGTACGTACTTGGCGTGTTCGCGCCGACACGTACTCATGCAGAGCTAGCTTAGCGAGCAAAGACAGTAAGAGACGAATTAATGACAAGCAAAAGAACACGCCGGCATGATGCTCTTGGCTAGCCTAGAGGCACTTGAATCCGGTGGGCGCGGTCTTGCCGCAGTGGTTGAGGATGAGGCTGAGGTCGACGGGCAGGTTGAGGTTGATGCCGAGGATTTTGCCCTTGATGGCGGTGCAGAGGCAGAGTGCGGCCTCGAGGTCGACGAGCCCCTCCAGCAGCGGGCAGCATGGCTCCGTGGGCGGCACTCCCACCTTGGCCTTGATCAGGCCCAGAACATTGGCGCACACGCCCAGCTTGAGCGCGTCGCGGGGGCACTTGCCGAACGAGGCCGGCGTCGGGGTCGGCGTCGAAGGGGTCGGCGGCGTGGGGCAGTCGCCACCGCAGGCGCTGGCCATGGCGAACACCACCAGGTTCACGGCCAGGAACAGCGCGACCGAGGCCTTGACTGCCATTGCTGCACACAGCAGTGTGTGTCCTCTTGACCACAGGCACAGAGCAGAGTGAGCTTCGAGAGGAGCTAGCTCTTGATGGCTCGATTACTAAGTGCTTGTGATGGTTGGAGACGGTGTTCGGGTGCGGTATTTATAGGTGGCCGCCGGAACGAAGCGCGACAATGATGCAATGATCAACTAGCTCGTTAGCATATGCATGTGAGGTTGAGATGATGGTGCGGGATGCCGATCTGGATGGGTTCAAAAACTAGCGAACAAGATTGCTGTAGTGGCGGACGCATGTTCCAGTTTGCGGTTTACGCTACTCTATTTGGGCGATCTTGGCGGACTCGATGTCTTTTTGTAACATGCCATAAGCCAAAATAATATCGGTCCATAAGAAGGTCGTGGTGCCGATCGATAATGTCGTTGATGATCGGGGAGCGGAGTACAGCATTCAGAGGAATGAAAACCAGCGGAATCATATGACGCAACTACGCAAGACCAGCTTATCTGTGACTCTGAAGAAGAGAGAGGTGAGAAAAAGAAAAGCTCGATGCGATGGGCAGGGCCGCAGGGGCAGGGCGAGGTACTGTGCCTTTGAGCCCATAGTTTATATGGGTTGGGCGGGACCGTTATTACTACTTAAGCCCATATAAAGGCCCACTTCTCTGATCTCATTTGAAAATCCTTGATGGGCTAAAACCACACCGCTGGCGTGGACGGCGGCCCGTGAAATCTGGACTACTATTTGATGCATCGTTCTAAGGATGAAACCAGGAACGGGAAGATCCCGTACCGACCGACACCGTATACTACAAATACCAACCGTATACCGTAATTACAGGAAAATTCGGAAACGGGAAAATTATTCAGGAAAACGGGCGGAACCAGAATCGAAATCGGGCGAGCTATTTTCCGGCCGAATCCACGATTCTATCGGATTTTAACGGGAAAAATCCCGACCAGTATTCCCGTGTTTGCAGTAGCGCCAGCCCCTCTACAGCCCGCTAGTCCACAACTTCGCCCAAGGATGAGTCGCTTCATGTCCACTAGCCTGGCTTCATTTATAACTTACCGCGTGCGATTGCTGATTCAAAGGGCGAGGTGGGACTAATGCTTGCTTGAAAAGGGAGTGCGTGTGTGCGGTGTCTTGCAGTGCTCTGTGCCTTCTCTGCTGCTGCATGCATGCCTGCTGCTGTGCCTTGTGCATCCGTGCGTAAAAGAGGCGGGGACAAACGAGTGATGCTGTTGGTTTTAACTTTTTTGTTTCTTTTATTCCCCATCTGTTGTTTTCCTTTGTAGATCTCCGGAGCAGCAAGGTTTGGCCATTTGTTCATTTTTCTTTTCCATTTTCTTTTTTGGTAGTTCTGTAGTTTTATTTGCATAAATATTCTGACGAGCTCACTAGTTGCTATTGTTTGTATAAGGATTATGCATGGTTGCTATTGTTGCATCGAGCTCACTATTTCAAGTGGTTACATATATCGATGTTCCCGTTTTGTGTTACCGCTTCCCGATCGTAATCGACACGTTCCCGTTCGAAATATTCCGTTCCCGATATACCGTAATACCGGATTCGTTTTCCCGTCCGGCCTTCCCGTTCCCGTTCCCGTTCCCGGCCAAAAAATACGGGAGCGGAAATGGTTAAGACATTTTCCCGACCGTTCCCGACCGTTTTCATCCCTACAACGTTCATTCTCCCTCATCGTTCATCAGGCAAGTCTGAGATCCACTCAAAAAAAAAATTCAGGCAAGTCTGAGTAATCATTTTTTATGAGGTGGAAATGTTTTTAAGAAGAAAGGAGTTCTTTGTTAGAAAAAGAATTTTTTATTCCAAGCTTTGCAAGAGTTTTGTACACAACCATTTATTATTACAAAGTTCGAAACTCTAGCGAAAAAGAAGCTCTCAGAAAAGCAGCCGTAGTCTCCAATAGTCGACGTACCAACTTTAAATTGGGATTGATCAGCCTCCTTCTAAAGACCAATTTAAGTAGTTTATCCCCGCTAACGCTCTTCCAAAAGTAATATTAAGTGCTGTAGTGCTGATTACATATGCAACTGTGATATATTTCTTTCTTCTAATATTCAGCCTGTTCGGGAGGCCGTATCGTATCGTGGATTATTTACTGCTGGCTGGTTTGGTGTGAGAGAAAAACACTGTTTCCGGTTGGAAATTTACGATCGTTTACGAGCAAGCGAACATGTTGATTATATAGAGATGGATACTAATCTTTAAGTGTGGCATTTCCAAACCATTTATCCTCCCAAAGCCTTACTGGTTCACCTGAGTGAAGGTTAAAGGTAGAAAACTGTAGAAATTGAAAGGAGTTCTAGGCTCGATTTACTCTAGATGATTCATGTAATCTCTCTATCATAAAATAAATGGACATCTCGCTTCTCGAGAAGTCAAACTTTTTTAAAAAAAATTGACTAAAAATATAGAAAGTAGTATTAATATTTATATCTCCAAACAAATTTATTATAAAAGTATATATTCCATGCTCAATCTAACGATACTTATTATACATTAATTATAAAAGTTAGTATAATTTTGTATATATTTAGTCAAACTTAAAAAAGTTTGTCTCCTCGAGAAATGAGATGTGCATTTACTTTGGGACATAGTGAGTAATTATTAAATGCCTATAAAATAAAATAATAGAATTGTGCATTGTATTGAAAGTGATTGTTTCGTTTACGTTTCCTTGCATTTTAGATTCCGGTAAATAACAAAACAAGGATGGCCTCAACAAAGAGAAAAGACAAAAAAAATGATGCATCGTTCCAGGAAACATTCGCACTGGATCCTGCGCTAGAGTTGCAGTTACTTGGCATCTGCAACCGTGCCCTCACACCACCTTCACATGGCACGAAGCGATCAAATGAGAATACTGTAGATTACTGTATTGCACAATAGCATTCGTTTGTATTTGATAATAATTGTCCGATCGTTGACTAATTAGGCTCAAAACGTTTGTCTCGCAAAGTACAACCAAACTGTGCAATTAGTTTTTGATTTCGTCAACATTTAGTATTTTATACATGTACCGTAAGTTTGATGTGACGAGAAATCTTCTTTTTTATAGTGCCAAAGTTTGAATTTTGGGATTGAACTGACATGGCCCAAACCCAGCGCGTACACCCGTGCAGTTACCCCCAGGCGCGCGCGCGCACTCGGACGTTCAGCGAAGCGTCGCGTCGCAACTCGCAACTCCTCGAAACCTCACCCGCCGCGGGGTGCCGGTGCTCAAAAAAGCCCCACAAGGAAACCGCCGCGCTACTATACTGCACGGGCACTCGACCCTGGCGTTGCGACACCGCTCCGCTCGTGGCACTTGCGCGAAACCGCAACAGCGACAACGCGCCCACGAAACGGCGGGCCGCGCCAATGGACATGCCGCCGGCGACGCAGGGACGGCGGGTGAGCGCCGTGGTGGACCGGAATCTCGACGAGCTCTGCGCCTCCCTCGACGACGCGCTGTCGTCCAGGCAGCGGAGCCCCTACGCGGAGAAGCAGCTCCACGACAAGATCAAGGCGAAGACCGACTTCCTTCGGCCGCTCCTGGCCGCCGAGGCGGAGTGCCACGGCGGGGCGCGTCCGGTGCGCCTGGCCGAGGCCGAGGCGCGCTTCGCCGTCCTTAAGGCCACGTTCGATCAGTGGGCGCAGCGCGCAGTCGTCGCTGCACCTGAACCAGTCGAGGAGGAGGAGGAGGAGGTGGTGGTGGTGGTGGTGGTGGTGGGAGAGCCTGAGGAGGAGGAGGCCGACTGCTCGGGGTCCTCGCGGTCCACGTGCTCCTGCACCGACTCGTGCCAGGAGGCGACGGAGGGGGACGCCAAGCGCGATGACGTCGTGGAAGCACGCAACAAGGAGGAGGCGTCGGATGTCATCGCCGAGGACAACGACGCCGAGGACGAGACCGCGGAAACACGCAGGGAGCTGGCCACGGATAGTGTTGCCAAGAAGCGGGAGGCCATGGGAACTCGAGAGGAGGTGACGCTAGACGTCATTGCCAAGAAGCGCGACACCGATCGCGAGGCCGCGGCGGAGACGGGGAAGAGGGCCGTCCAGCGGCGCTGGTGGAGGCAGAGTGCTGCTGCCTGGTGCGGTGCAGCCTGCGTGCTCGCGGTGGTCGCCGTCGGGTTGGCGGTGGAGGTGGCCGCGGTGGCTCACCATAATGTCAATGTTTACGTTGTTCCGACGTAAAGAAGACAAAGAAAACTAGATCAGGCAAGTTTTATCTTAGTTCTTTAACTCTTCGCTGTTCGTGCCGAGGTGCTCTTGTACTCTTGTTTTGCTGCAAAACTTGCTTCGACGGCCAAGCCGATGGCTACTTACATTTCTGTGTGATTCGTGTCGCTATTGAGCACCACGTTCTCGGTTCTGTGGGGTACTTTCAGTAATCCAGTTCTGTTGACATGACGATAAGGATTACAGATTTACTGTGTCCCATTTTTATTTGGCTTTGACGTGACGAAATGATAGGTAGTAGTTCTATATCAAACATATCAATATGACACAGACATGCAACGTCATCTTGTAGTGTTGATTCCATTCCATGTATGGAATGTTTACCTCACTCACAGGCTGTCTATGCTTGCCTGAAGAACATAGGAGTACTTGGGAATCCTGTTCTATGTCCTATCGGTGATGTATGATGCTCTGTACACTCCATTTCGGATTATTTTGACCCGTTAATATCTTTTACTATATCATCAACATAATTCAGAGATACTTTGAACACAAATCCCTTGATACAAGTTCAATGTTCTAAACTTGCATATTTTTTGAATAATTGTTGGTCAAAGTTTGTATAAGTTGACTTTTCTCTGTTTGAAATGTGATTGTCATTCCAAGTCCAAGATAGAGGAAATATCTGTTAAACTGACAGGCCATTGGAAGTAGTACTGTTAGGAAATCCTGTGGGTTTATACAACTCTGAAGTCTGAACTGCAAGTTCCTGATGAAACCTTTCTATTTCTAGCGCCCTATTCGTTTGGATTTGTTTGGCTGATAAGCCATGGCTGAAAGTACTGTGGGCTGATTTGGTGTGAGAGAAAAATACTGTTCATTGGTTGAAAAAGTATGGCTTATAAGCCAAACAAGCCCAAACGAACGGGGCGTAGATAGATACGATACTGTGTGCTATTGAGAGTGAAGCTATACCCAAATGCGAATTGAATGAAGAAACAATTTCGGTGGAGAGTGCAATGGTGATAGTGGTTGTAGAAACATACATCTGCCTAAACCTTGATGTCATTCATCAAGTGTCCAATGAACACAGATGACATGAAGACTAACACTACAAACATCAGTGAGAATCCTTCTTGTTGTTGAGATGATCTTGTTTCTTCAAGCAGTTCCTGAAACAATAATGAGTTCAAATGTTCATGTATTTGTCAGTAAAATACTTGTAGCCAATCCTTACGAAAATTCAGGGCCATAGATTCCATGATATATATAAAAAAAACTTTAGTAATATTATGTTCGTCAGCGTTCCAAAGTTATCAGCTTGCGTCAGGAGGTTGCTGTTATAATGCAGACATGCATATAGTGTGGACACCAGAATCAGTGCTAACTGTAAAGCACGTCATTTTCTGTTTGCATACCTGTACAGCATCTCACACAAACTTTTCTAGTTATGACAAACAACGCATTAGGAACATGTGACCAGGTATCGAATGCAAAATTGAAAATCAAAGATAATCCCTTCAAGGAGCCGAGATAACCAGTCCTCAACAACTGAATGGTTAACTTTGTTTGATAACAAACTTTGACGCTTAAGTTTTCAAACTATTTATCCGAAGGGAAAAATTTACCATTTTGTATTGAAGCTTCAGTTTTTCTTCTACTGCAATTGCACATTCCTTCTCTTCATCCATCCTTGATTTTACAGGGGTAACCTGAACAAACACATACAGTAGAAAACAGAGTGAACTGATGGATTACCTACCTTGGTAATTGGTAATTTTATTTATATAAAGGCAGTAAACCATACTGGATTAATTGGCAAAACAAGAATCTACGCAGTTCAGGTGCTCAGCTACTCATTAGGTATTTTGTTTTCATGATCATGCAGACGAGCTGTGTTACTGTGGGTGTATCATTTCATTAATAAGAAGAGAATAAATTCAAGGGAGAGGGCAGGAACACCCTCACCCCAGACACACACTAAGAGAAAAAGAGCAGAATCACCACAAATAAGCTTTAAACAGCCGGCTTACTCTAAGGACAGAACTAATAATTTCAAGGTAAGTGACCTAACTACTCATTAGGCATCACAGTTCTGTAATGACAAGTGACAGTGACATTGTACCAAAATGAGCAAGTACATCTGTGACACTGACAAATTCACAAATACTCCCTCTGTCCCAAAATATCTGTCGTTCTCACTTCCCAACAAATAACTTTGACTAATTTTAAATAAAAAATATTATTATTTATGATACATAATTAATATCATTAGATAAATCTTTAAATTTATTTTCATAATAAATTTATTTGGAGATACAAATGTTGCACGTATTTTTTACAAATCTAGTCAAATTTGTGGCACGGAAACAAAAAACGACAAATAATATGGGACAGAGGGAGTAACTACTGTACCGAGAAAATTACTGCAGTATAGTTGTCTCTATGTGTTGTACCTGCTCGATTCTAGCTCTAGCCTATCGACATTCTTGGTTGGTCGTGCACGCTAGCGTCTTGCCCGTGGGCATGGCACAGCCGGATCTTGTCGATGTTGTGTAAATTTTCTTTTCTTCTTAATGAAATATGGGTACACATCTGATCGCGAAAAAAAAAAACTGCTATACCGAGAAAAGAGTTACCTCAGCACATGAAGGTTCTTCTCCAGATGCCCGTATATAAGTAGGTGTCTGCAAAAGAAACAAACTATAGCATTACGTAATCCATGTCAGGTTTCCCTTTGTACAGTAGCATCAAACTCGGTAGCATTACATACAGCATTAAATACAAGTGATCTTTTCTCTTCACAGCCTATCACCTCTGACCGAGGGGATGAATCCTCTTCCTCTTCTTCCTCTGGAACCGGTGATGGAGGATTAGCAGCAATGTACACCACGCGCAGCTTGAACTCCCCAATCACCCTACCTGGTGCTTTAACGAACTGCAAATCACAACATTAACATTTCACGCCAGCAGTAAATGATTAAACAATACATGAACTAAACTCCCATAAGAGAACGTACCAGTTCGGGCAGGAAGTCTTTCATCGTTGCCCCATCTCTCACTACAACACTTTGCACAAGGAACTTGTCCTTGCAGTGGTGATCAGATAGCATCTCCATTGGAGCCTGCATAGTAACTGCGCCAATTCCAACCCTTCATTGCCAATTTGAATCAGATTAACCAATTAATCGACTAATCGAGCACATGCTGCTCAGACAGCACCTGTGAGATTGCACGAGCTCCGGGGAAGAAGTATACCGCAGGCGTGCCTCACAGAGTATTTCCTTGGGTTCGTTGTTTTCACCTACGTATGGGGGCATCAAAGCCAATCATTCTCCCTCCCAATGCACCGCAGCAGCAGCAGCTCGGAACAGCAACAAGGACAGGAAATTTCACCTTGAAGGCCACGTACTGGTCGGTCCTGTTCGTCAGCTCCATGAAGCAAGACCGCTGCTTCTTGACCTCATCTTCTCATGGCAACAGGAATAAGAAGACTAGAATCAGCCAAGAAAAAGCATCATCAAGCAACTAGTTATGAAGAACTTACAGGGAATCTTGAGCTCGGAAGGGTAGACCCGAAGCAGCTTACTGCTCATGGCGCTGAACGAAGAACAGGAAAGCAAGAGTGGCGGCAAAAAGATTCGATCTTCTCCTCCCTTTTCTCGGCAAGAACCAGTGAGCTGGAGAGCGCGAGAAGTGGTTGGCGGTGTGGTTCCTGGCTCTGGAAGCAAAGTACACACGATGACACGAACAAAGTGCAGTGGTGACCTGGATTCAGTGGAACGCAGCTCAGCTGCTCAGCTCAGGGAACGGAGGAATAATAGCATTCGGATTAGGACTTTGGAGTGGGGTTTAGGAACTAGTTTACGAATCTTTCTAGCTGGTCCTCCATTGGTTTTGTTAGACTGGCTTCGATCAGCAGGATGTGACCTTTTCGTTTTGGAGTTCTTTCTTTCACGAATTATTTGTGATATGGTGCTTTTTAACGAATTTTGTGAGACTAACTGATGACAATTAGTTGGAGTGAGCTTTTCAACAGTTTGCTCGGTAGCTGCAGCATGAAGTTTAATAGCCTATTTTCTTGGTTTCTTCTCCTTTCTTTAATAAAGCCTATCAGGCAGTGGTTGTGCAATCAAGTACCGGTGAGATATCAGCCTCAAAAGCTTTTGCATCGAATCCAACTTCTTTCAGAGGAATGCTTTGATCCAGACTGGACCAACTAAAAGTTGTGCCTTGTTAATATAAATGAATTTTACCCAATGCCATGCAAATGAGGCTTTTGCTAAAAAGAGATGCACCTGGTCTTTCGTCTTGAAGATGAACACCCAGTTCATCATATGTGTATTAGAGCTCAAATGGAGAATTGCAGACGACGAACCTGCCCTAAAAGAAACTCCCATCCCTCGTGAAGTCGCAGCTCTGCAGAAACAGGATGTTGCCGAGCACTTGCCGTGTCCACGGCAGCATTGGCACGACGGCACGCCGTTAGCATCTGGCAGGGAGGGTACTGAGAGCCAAGGCACCGCGGAGACGCCGAGGGCCATGAGCGGGCGGGGACACCGGCCAGTAGGGAGAGGGAACCAGTGACAGTAGTGGGATCGCATCCGGGCATCCGGCGGCACCGCCGGCACATCGTGTGGTGGCGTGCGGGTATCTCTGCCGGGCCTCGCGGACCATTGTATTTGGTTCTGAGATGGGCCTGCGAACCCAAAAACTCTCACAAGATCTCGCCAATCACAAAGCCCATCTGGAAAAAAGAAACCCCAGCTTGGCCTGGCCCAGCCTCTCAGCCAACGTGACAAGCCCAACCCAGCCGCGCTAGTTGTGCATTCGCTGTGACAAGCCCAACCCCTAATCATTAGTCCCATCGTGATTACGCAAATTCAACTGGTGCTTCACGTGACTCACAATTATTAGCGGAAGTGCGCAGGCACAACCACCGTTCTTTTTTAGCCGACTTATAAACCGACTTATAATGACAGCGAACTGAGCCTAAAATTATATACACGGTCAGGCAGAGGCAGGTGGTGAGCTCTGAGCTGCTGACGGCTCACGCTCAGGCTCAGCTCTGCTGTGCTGTGCTGCTCAACCCGGTTAGGTCAGCTGGCCAGCCAGGCCCGTCTGATCGCTGGAAGCACCGCGTTCCTCGGGGTCTCGCCTCTCGCGTCTTCTACTGCTCCCTCCACTTCCACCTCCAACCCTTCTCCCATTCCCGTTGATGCGAGCGAGACAGATCAAAAGGAGATCGAGATAAAAAAAACAGGGAAAGAAAAAAAAATATCCACCGCTCCGGAGGCACGGCTGCGGCGAGCGTGCGACACCTCCGGCGGCTGCACAGAGCCGTCGAGGCGTCGACCGAGCTCCGGCCGCCCGCGGATACTCCGGAGCCCGGCGCGGTAAGGCCCAGGGGTCCACGCTGGTACCCAGATCTCGGGGTGGTGCTGGGAAGTGGGGTTCGTTCCGTCCCTGCCTTCCCTTGTGGGGATGGGGTGGTCCGCGGGGCTGTGGTGGCTCGTGGCGGCGGTGTCGGTGGCGGCGGCGGCGGCGGAGGGTGAGGTCGCGGCCGTCGCGGCGGCGCCGAGGCGGCACGCGTACGCGTCCATGATGTACATGGGCACGCCACGGGACTACGAGTTCTACGTCGCCACGCGCGTCATGATGCGGTCCCTGCGCCGGCTCAGCGCCGACGCCGACCGCGTCGTGATCGCGTCCCTCGACGTCCCGCCGCTCTGGGTCCAGGCGCTGTAAGCTCTCCCACCTCCTCCCGTCTTGCTCTTTGGCTCTTTGCGCGAGCGCGCCACTCGGCTCCCGCCCGGGTGGCGCTTAATTGGATCGCTGGGCGTTCGGTAACGGACGCCCCTGCCGTTGTTTGATGCGTACTTTGCTGCGTTCCGATCAGTTTGGGGTGCATTTTGAAGTGCTCGGGGTTTGACTTGATGCCTGCTTAGTTCATTGAAGCAAAATTCGTGGTTATTTTCATGTTCGGTTGGGTCAAGTTCACGCCCGCGCCGAACTTTGGTCCTTTTGGTTGTCTGGCTCAACACCTTGGACGCAAATTAATGGTTATTTTGATAGGTTGATGTTCCGGTGTATGATTATAAATTGTCTCCTTCCTTGTTCAGTTCAAGTTTCATTGTATTCGTCACATTTCCTTAAACATAAGGACCATCAGGTGTTCCAGCCGTATTTAAAGTGATTCCTCTCTTTTCATGGATCAAACCGTGCTGCACTTCTCTACCGTACTATCTGAACTTCTCTAACTAGCCGACACTTGTTACTGTTCTGACATGTACTTTGTGTCAAAGTGCGAGATGACTGTGTTCGTGCTCTGGCTGCATCTTTGCAAAATGGCCTCACAATTTCAACGGTCTCTTAGTGCGGAGGTCCCTTTCGTGTTGACTTTAGTAGTAAGGCCATGAAGTTTGTTGAGGTGAGTGCATGTGAGATATTTGTTGATAAGCTACGAGATTTGAGCTGCGAATTTCCAGTCCTGGCGTTTGAATTTCATCGATTGCAGCTGCGATGTTATATAAAATGATGTCTGCAATGGGCTACTGACTTGGCCTATCTACGATGTTTACTGAACAGTTGTGATATTTGACCTGCTGATTTCCACTGCCTCACGTTCTAGTAAGTAGTTAGCTGATGGGGACTGTGGCTATAACAATATATCAGTTGGACTAGTATGTAAAATATGTCGTATTGTCCAAACATATATCAGTTGGACTAGTATGTAAAATATGTCGTATTGTCCAAACAGCCACATGTGGATGTCGACTGGAGTTTGTTTTTCATTGTTTTTTCTTGCTAAATATCTGTCTGTGCTATGACTTATGACTCTGTCAGCTATTTTCAACAACTTATACCTTGAGTGGATGCTGTTTTTTTTTTGGAATTTGTGTTTTTTGGGGGGTATCCTAGTGGTCCAACTCTTCTCTTTGTTTGTTAGAATATTAAATCTTCAATTGTTTGCTATATTGAGAAATTTTTTAATTGTGAACTTTAAAGAACAGAAACTTAATTGCACTTTGCACATAATAAATTGATAAAACTTTACTGCTTTTCTGTATTACAAAACTTGAGCACAAGTTGAGCTTATTATACCCTTGGTGTGGGCATCAAGAAATAGCACTATAGCAGTACTCTATTTTATTGTTGGCTCTAAAAAGTGCTGCTAATCATGAATGGACAATAGTGGTTGTATAGAGTGAAACACAAGATTAGGTAAAAGATATCAATATTTGTCTGTGTGAAGTAGCAAATATGAACGTTGATGCCATCATGCCAATTTGTCCTGTGACACTGTTCTTTGAAACCATGCATGGAGCATCCCTTTTTCTTTTCTGATGTGATGCTTTTTGCTGGGTGTTTTACAATTTATGCTCCTATTTTAAGCATTGAACATACACTTACAGCGGCAATATATATTTGGGATGAAATGTTTTTCTTTTCCTGCAAAATTGGACTTGTTTACTTCAGTAACATGTTCTTTCTTACAGTTTTTGCCTCTGTTAGTAATATATATGGATTGAAACTCTTTCTTTAGGAAAGATGATGGTGTAAAGGTGGTCTCTGTGGAGAATTTGAAAAATCCTTACGAGAAACAAGAAAATTTCAACATGCGATTCAAGTTGACTTTAAACAAGCTGTATGCATGGAGCTTGGTTTCGTATGAGCGAGTTGTTATGCTTGACTCTGACAACATTTTCCTCCAAAATACTGATGAGTTATTTCAGTGTGGTCAGTTCTGTGCTGTCTTCATCAATCCCTGCATCTTCCATACAGGTCTCTTTGTGCTTCAGGTAGAGCTACTTACTTTGCATGCATTCCATTTTCTGCAAAAAAAATTACTCTTGCAGATCAGAAAATATGTTATTTCTGTCTTTGAAATGGTTATAAACAAACCTACATTGCAGCTAGCGACATTCTTTGATGTCCATTACTTCAGCATAGTGGAAACCTAACTGCCTTTTGATAATTGATTCTTTGTTATTCCTTGTTTAGTAATGAAAATTTTATCTTGTTCACTACTTCCGGAACTCATTGCATTTTTTTACCTGAAATCTATTAGCCTTCCTCAGGAGTTTGGTGTATTTTTTTGTTTCTAACTTTATTTTGTTTCCAGCCCTCAATGGACGTTTTTAAGAACATGCTACATGAGCTAGCGGTTGGACGTGAAAACCCAGATGGTGCAGACCAAGGCTTCCTTGCTAGTTATTTCCCAGACTTGCTTGATCAGCCAATGTTCCATCCACCAGCTAATGGTACAAAACTTCAGGGTACTTATCGCCTCCTCTAGGCTACCAGATGGACGCGTCTTACTACTATTGTGAGTGCTTGTACCAGTATGATTATTCCACATTCTCAAACATTCTGTTGGTCCAGACTAACAGACTAGACTTTCAGATCTGAAGCTTCGCTGGAGTATTCCATGTGGACCGAACAGTGTGATTACATTTCCGAGTGCTCCATGGTTTAAGCCATGGTACTGGTGGTCTTGGCCAGTTTTACCTTTGGGGCTCTCTTGGCATGAACAACGTCGTGAAAACCTAGGGTGAGTGGTCTATTTTACTTTCCTTTTTGTGATGCTTATTTCTATTGCATGCTCAAATTCTAACCTTAGTGACATCCTACAGAACCAGATAAGGATGTCCACATTATTATATCCTGACGTGGTTAGTAACATGTCACGAAGAAATGCATTCTATCTTTCTATCTTCTTTAGAATAAAGATGCATAGGGGGAAAAAAGCATTACCATGCCTTTTTGTCTTTTAGGATAAAGTTACATAAGGCAAGAAGTTGTCATGTTTCTTTTTTATCGTTGGTAATATAAAGTTCCAGAAAGTAGGGGATTCTTATAATTAAGGGTATAATATTACTCCTAAGTTGGGGGTTAGGGGGAGGTCATGCTGGTTAAGGATGCTGATTTTTAGTTTCTGAAATGCAGAACCTATGTTTCGTTATAATATGTTAATGTTATGCAAAACAGGTATTCATCGGAGATACCAGTAGTATTAATTCAGGCTGTACTGTACATTGGAGTCATAGCAGTGACCCGACTGGCGCGGCCTAGCTTGTCCAAGATGTACTACAACCGAAGAATGGAGAAAAACACTATGTTCTTGCTCTCCCTTCTGAGAGTAGCGGCAGCTTGGTCCATACTTGCTGCCTACACCATACCCTTCTTCATCATCCCAAGGACCGTCCATCCACTGCTTGGCTGGCCTCTCTACTTGCTTGGTTCTTTCTCTCTTTCTTCCATTGTGATCAACGTTTTCCTCCTCCACCCGATGACTGTCCTCACAACATGGTTTGGATTCATCGGTGCGCTATTGGTGATGGCCTTCCCTTGGTATCTAAATGGTGTTGTCAGGGCATTGGCAGTGTTTGCGTATGCGTTCTGCTGCGCACCCTTGATCTGGGCATCTTTGGTCAAGACAATGAGCTCCTTGCATGTCCTGATCGAGAGGGATGCATTCAGGCTCGGAGAACCTAACCAGAACGCCGAGTTCACAAAGCTATACTGAGGTGGGCACGGCAGATACATATGATTGATTGATCACTTCTGTTGTTCAGTTTGAACAGCTAATCTCCATTCACGTTGACAAATTCTGATGGCCAATTCAATTGTACAAGTAAATCTGCAGCCTGGGAGCAAGAGTTGCTGTACCTTCTGGAACCATCTGGAAACCTCTAGAACCCATGATTGTTGTTGTCTTAGACGTGTAGGTGACATATACAGGGGAAAGGAGGGGTAGAATTGGTGCGGAACTGAAGAGGAACGGATCGGGCTCAGTTTTTAGTTAATTTTGATTTATTGTTCCTCTGAAAAGCCAAGGCATTTTTGGCTTTGTTTGTAATTGATATGATCAGTTCCATCACCAATGAAGAAAAGGGTTGAAAGTTCAGATGGTGTACTTTGCTATTTGCGGGGCCGGGCCGCGCGGCGGCGTCCACCTCCGCCATGCCATGCCGATGCCGGCCGGCATGCCGCGCCTGCGCCTGTGCCTGTGCCCGCGCCCGCGCGCGCCTCCCAACGCGAGAGAGAGGCCTTTTACCTTTGTGCTGCTGTTCTCGCCCTCGCCCTCGCCCCGCGGCGTGCGCGTTCGTGCATGCAGGCATGTGCGCGCACCGCGCGCGCAGTGCATGGGCGCAGCCGGCCGCGCGGCATGCGGGTGTACGTTCGTTCTTGGATCGTTGCTGTTGTTTAGGGTTCTCCACGCGGATTAGTTTACTCTGATCAGTGTCTAGCTCTGAGCGGTGGATTAGTGCAGCTCTTGTAGTATGCTGTGTCCGCATGCGACCTACTAGCCTGCGTGACACCGTACCGGCCGGTACTAGCTACTCCTATATAGGAATAGGAAGGTGGCAGGGGCGTTCGGACCGTTGTATCTCGTGCCATGCGGTGGCGTCTCTTGGGCCTCGGCGGTGACTTTGTTCCCACTCGCGGCGTGCTGCGCGGTGCAGGGGGGGGTGTCTCTGCTGCCTTTGCACTGTTGCATGCACGCTACTACCTGCTCGATCTTGGCGCTCCTGCCCGTGTACGCTTGTGTCTCCATCCGATCTAGGAGTACCCTTTTCGGAGGGCCCCCACCGTCGATCTGGACCATGCATCGTCTAGGGATTTGGTAAAGCTGATCTGTCACACACACACATTTTCATGCACTGCACGGTTTCTACGTTGCATACAGGATTTGCAGGTTCCTTACTCGTACTAGCTACTACATGTATATGGTACTTTGCAGTTCAGAAGTGATAAGTCTCTTAAGTTGCGAGGGGTGGTCGCATGCAAGAATTGTATTTACCGAGCAGCACTTGTTTAGTACTGCAGGACACCAGTAAAAACCAAAGGAAGCTGCTTCCACTGCGGTCAACGTGACAAACCGATAGATTATGGTACGAGTATAATGTTAGCTATGTGTGAACGGCTGGAAAATCTATTTCGGCCCGGTAGAAGCTGCTAGACACTCGTAATAAACCAGTAGTAGATCTCACTCGCCTAGCTACTCGCCTGTAGTAGCTAGTTAGGCCCCGTTTAGATTGAAGCTGCCAAAATTTAGACAGCTAAACTAGTTGCTAAATTTTAGTCGCATTTGTTTAGTTTGGTGGATTAAAAGAGCATTTTAGTCCCTTTTAGTTAGGGTGTTTGAATCCAAAGTGACTAAAAGGTGAGGTAGTCTGGGCTTAGTCCCATTTAACAACCTCTTGGTGACTAATTAGCTAAATATCTTTTTAGTCCCATTTAGTTATAGTGTTTAGGTAAAAAAGTGACTAAACAAGACTAAAATTAACCAGCTAAACTTTAGCAGTCCAATCTAAACACCCCCTTAATTAATCTAGCTAGCTAGCAAGGGTGAAACTTAGAGAAAGCATGACCGTTGGCATCCGACCAAGGCGCAAGAAGTTCCAAAACACACCCGCCAGCGTCTGCAGCAGGCCGGGTTGCTAGCATTTGGCAGGCCGGGTTGCTAGCATTTGGAGCGTCTGCAGCAGGAACAAACCTTGGAATTGAAGTTAAGTTTCATTTGCAGGATGAAATCATGGAATCGACTCACAGGTTGAGTAATATGTATGGCCATTATTAACTCTGAACCTAACACTTCTGCTTTTGCCAATGAATTTTGACTCCAAAGTCCAAACCTAGCAAATTTGTATGGTCGACGGTATAAATAATGGAATGTGTTGGTCCATCCCTACCTTATACCATAACTTTTTATTCAGTAGGAAAATGAGGGAGTGGGTAATCTAAACAAAATCGTGAGACCAATCACGTCCATATTCTGCAATTCCAAGAGTAAATACCTATTGTTCTCAGATATAAAGGATGGCAGAAGAATCAAAGGCATGCCATAGTAAGCACCACATTCAAAATTCCGAGCTTCACCAACTACATTCCACACAAATTTGAAGTATTTTCCATGGTTAGCATAATGATTTATTTGAAGATGTCAATTATAGTAACCAACCCTTCACTTTTTTATATAAAAAAAGTAGACTGCAGGGGGAGGGGGAAGGGGGAAGCACCAAGTGCAGACCTGCCTTGTGCCTTGATTCAACATTCAAGGGCATTTTAGTTCATTATCAGAAAAAGGGGCATTTTAGTTTATTGCCCAAATATTTTGGCGCAAAATAAAATATATAATATATGTGTGTTAGATAAATGTACAAGCATATCATATCGAGCCTCTCTGATCTCCATCTCAAAACAGGTTTCTATCGTCTCATTTTGTTCTTTTTTCATACCCTACATCTCATGCAATGTCCACCCAACCATGGCCTAGGCAGCTCAAAGCTCCATTCTTTCACCTCCTCACTCCGTCATCAACCATGGGCAAAAAGTTGCAGCCACACAACCATTCAAGAGAAAGAGCTGTGCGGGATGTGATCGGCATAACAGGAAGCAAGGAAGCTAGTTGTTCCTGGTTCAAAGAAATTGTTGAATGGTATATTTAGTGGAGAATGATTAATGCCAATGAAAGATAGCTCTTGTTCCTCGCAAAAGGAAAGAAAGATATCACTTGTTTTTTATTTTTCTTGGAAAAATATGATGTTATTTTTTATTTTATTTTGAAACGTAGAAAATAAAGATTAAATATTTATAAAACCTAAAACCAAGATCAGAGTTAAGTTGTACTAGATATTCAATGTTTCTCATAGCTATTTGAACTAGTATTTTGTATGAAAGGTTTGTAATATATTTATGGTTTTTTCTATTGTAAGTTCTACATATTTTCATGAACTCTTTGTGCCTCTCCAATGTTTGAATGCTCATCATAGAAATCCAAGTGTGCCACTGGGGCGAACTCCCCCACACTTAACCTTAAGAAGACGTGGCAGGCTTCGAACGTGGACTGGTGACGGGTTTAAATCAACCCTTGGAGATCAGCATCAAACATATTCATATTTAACTCCTGGAGAAGTTGGCAGCAACCCTTCACTTCCATTAACCAATGACATTTCCTCACAAGTATGGAATCTATAGTGTCATCTCTCTTTCTTATGTGCTTATATTTGTTGGAGGAGAGAAGGGGCAGAGGTGCTGTTTGCGAGAACAGTACCATGGGAGAGGGAGGGAGGGCGGAGGAGATGGAGAGACAGAGAGCTACAAAGGTAGAAGGGAGGGGGGGTTCCTATCTGGTTGAATCATAAAAGAGTACAGGGGCAGCTATTTGTAGAGGAGATTAAACTTGGCTCTCAAGCCATTCTATAGATGCACAAATGTTCAAAATGTCCAGATAGTCTACCCATCTCTGTTAGGCAATGAAGAAGATGCCGCCATGCTTGACGCAGCTCTCCTGCGTTTAAAAAAAAAACATTCTATAGATGGGATGTTATAGACTTATAGACATGACATGATCCCCTACTTCCTAACGTATCCTGATACATGCCTAACAAATGGATCTACTAGATTATTTCCTAACAACCTGATTCATCATGTAAAAAAGTCTCAGTTTTTCCCCCTCTATGTACAAGATAAGCAAATTTTCAAAAACCCACCATATCTGAACCATAGTTATTGAATACTTGATAGAAGTCCAAGTTGGTTGCTAAGGTTAGGAGCAACAGCCACAGATGAGGACCTAACAGAAAATAGCCACTGACTTACTGTTATCCCATGGTATTCAGATAGAGACCAGGAAAGATATCTGCAACAGTATCACTAGGAAGCAACCCCAAGGAAGGGGTATACTATACCGCACCACATTCTTGTATCTTTTGCATGATGCTGACGATCTTGGAGAAATTCTGAGCCTAGTTTCCATAAAGCACAGTAAGGGTTATCATGAGGTAAAGTGTTTTTTCATACTGCTCATATTCTTCTTTGTTTAATTTGTCGCCACCCCACTGATAACGTTCAACAAATTCCATTAAGTGCTCTGAACAAAATCTTGGAAAAAAAACCCTTGTGGTGTCAGTATCTCGACCATGCCCTGCACAGTTTTGGGGAAGTATCAACAGCTTACTGTGACTAGTTATTCACAGAATACTTAATACCAAAAACAACAACATAGTAATAGGGATTCACAATAAGAGAGACAAAACGCCAAAGTCGAACATAAATGACACTTAGAAAGGAAAAGAGGCGCTTCAAAAAGTTGCACTTTGTGCTCATATATACTGAACGAAAGTACTAGCAAGCAGAGAGCTCCCACTCATAGAAGTGCGTGGGAAGGGTGTCGATTGGCAAGCCTTACCTAAATCATGCAATCTTGAGGAGACCATGACTCGAACCAGGACCTTCCGGTCACAAGGTAGTAAGACTCTACCGCTTGCACCAGGCCCGCCTTCATAATTTGAGCAGCATCCAATCATATTCCAAAAACCTTCCCCCCCCACCCCCCAAATAAAATAAAATAAAAAATCATGTCAAAAGAAGTGATCTAGTGGTCTAGATGCCAGATCAAGTATGCTTCTCCTGGATATGAGTAATAGCAGATTGGTTCCATAGTTTAATAGAATATTGCTAAAAGAAAATAGATTCCTCAAATGACTAACTACCAAATTGGTCCCATAACATAGTAAGCATTGCAAGGATTGCCCTGTAAACTTCTACCAGTATCAAACATATCAGGAATAACATCAAATTTCAGTGTGTTTGTTTTGCAAAATTGTGCAACGGCCCAGGCAGCTGCACTAAACCTGGTTTGCTCAAATAATTTTAATCATGGAAATCCACTTTTCTTATCCAGTGTTATTAATGAGAAAAAATTCAACTGTTCAAGAAAAGTTTCTTTGATCCCTTCTAGGAGATATTTCATCTACAAACTGTAAATAAGAAACTAGTAAGGAATCGATGCATATATCCATAGACCAGAACATGAAAATTCAGTTAATTACCAATATATCTCGACACATGTTAGCGGATCATCTTGTCTGCCACATCAGGCATGAGCTGCCTGCCCTTATGTTCAGAGGAAAGGTGTTTCGTCACGAACCATGACTGATCTGGAAGTTCTGTCCCCAACAACAGCACAGGCTTATCTAATCCAAAATCACCAGCCTGAAAATAAAGGCCACAGTGTCAATTATCTCAAATCAGGGATCATGTTCCTTTTTTTTTGACAGAGGTAACACCCAGCTTTTATAGAAAGCAAAGATCATGTTCCTTTCAGGGTCAAATTATCAATAACTAAACATTTCAACCAAAGGATCACACTATAGCTATTCAGGTAGCCTTCCGACTTCCTTATGTAATAAGCAAAGGCATCTTTGAAAAATAAAATTTCAAGGATGGAATTAACCTAATAAAGGATGTTCTGCATATATCCATATACGGATACACCAGAGCATGGATTCAGTATTACCCGTGAAAGGATTCAGTAAAGTCAGAAATCGGATTTCAGTATTTCAGCACCAGTGCAAGTTTACTATCAATCCAACACACGGTTCCAGTTCCCACCACCCGCCGTCGCCAGTCGCCACTGCGAGGAAGCCACATATAGGGTTACGCGGTGTCTCGGCGGGAGTCGAGCCTCCAGATGATTGAAGAAAAGGGAGAAAGACTGGCGCACCTACGGGGGCTGGTCAGGGGATCAGCGTCCTTGGAACCGTCCATGCCGCGGTTGTGCCAGAGTGCTCAACTTTTGGTCAAGGCCGCGGCGCTACCTCGGGAACCCCGACGCACCGTTGGATTTAAGGGATTCGGTGGATTTGCATTTGGGTTTGGGTTTTTCGAGGGTGCGGCCGTGCGGGAGATGCCGTTGAACTCATTAAACAGTCACGAGACGAATCTTTTAAATCTAATTAAATTATAATTAAATATTAATTATCAAATAACAACGAAAGTGCTGTAATACCATTTAAAAAAAAATCGCCAACTAAAGTTTGGTTAGTTCGTTGGCAGGCTGTCTGCCCACTAGTACATTGGTCAAGCTGGCAAGCCCCACTCCGGCCCTCGGCCTGCTCGCCGCAATGCATCACCAGTTCGCGCGCCTCGTGCCCACCGCCCGCCCCGCGCTGCCGCCGATCCACGGCGGAGCCGTCTGCCGGAGCTCTCCGCCCGACTACCGGGCCGTGGCGCTTCGCCGGGCGCCGGGCGCCTCCGCGGCTGGCCCGCGCGCGTGCCGCCCCCTCGCCGTCTCCGCCCAATCCATCAGCCCCCAAGCCGGCTTGAGGTCTCTCCGAATCTCCCTTTGTCGTCTATACTTCTTGGAATTTTGTTCTTTGTACTTCTTGGTTCACTGGACGTGGGGGAATCTTGAGATGCCGTCGGATTATTTACTTTGTGGTATGCACTCTGCTGTTGCTCACTTTGCTCTGGAGCATCTCCCGTGGCGAATTTTGTAGCTATTCGGGAAGGGGATCCACTAATTTTGCCGATCTCGTAGCATAACTGCGCCACAAATCCATATCAATTATGTGACTTATGGGTGCTGCTCGCTAGTAACTATGCCATTCTGTCATCTTTAGCTCCCTTTTACACATCCACTAATTTTGCCGATCTCATAGCATAACTGCGCCACAAATCCATATCAATTATGTGACTCATGGGTGCTGCTCGCTAGTAACTATGCCATTCTGTCATCTTTAGCTCCCTTTTACACTTACTGCTAATTATTTTGATTGTCAGGCTGGAGGAGAAGTTCTTTGAAGTGGAGATGAAGGTGCGTGACTATGAACTTGACCAGTACGGTGTTGTCAACAATGCTGTCTATGCTAGCTACTGCCAACATGGTGAGTTCTGTACATATTACAAACTCGGAAGTTAGAATGGAGTTAACGCTTGTTTAGGTAGCATATTCAGTCTTATATGCTATCATGGTTTGTTCTCTAAAATCTAATTCTTGTTTAGGTAGCATATTGAGATCCCGTATCTGATTCTATGCCTTGAAATTGAGCAGGTCGTCACGAGCTGCTTGAGAGTGTAGGCATCAGTGCGGATGCAGTGGCGCGCAGTGGGGAGTCGCTGGCCCTCTCTGAACTAAACCTAAAGTACTTTGCCCCTTTGAGGGTAATGTGCTCCTTTCCTAAGCCATGCAGAAACCAAAATTGAAGAAATCTGATGAAATTATTTCAGCTTGAAACCTTGGATTGAACATGTCACTGCATAGCAGTTTCTCTTGGTTCTGATTTGCCCCTTTATTTTCTTTCGACTGGCAGAGCGGCAACAAGTTTGTTGTTAAGGTGAGGCTTGCGGGCATCAAAGGCGTACGGATGATATTCGAGCACGTCATTGAGAAGCTGCCTAATCACGAGGTATGCAGAACACCAGGTTACACATTCAGAACCGAAGAAACAAGAAACAGCGTGGGTTTAAGCTCTTCTGCCACAATGTTATGTGCAGAACTCTGTGTGGGATTGTGTCAACCCATACAGTTACATGTTACTTTATGCATTTATGTGCAACCTCTGTATACAGCGAAAGATACATATATAACAATTTTCCACGACCTGTTTCTAATGGCAGCTAATTCTGGAGGCAAAGGCAACAGCTGTTTGCCTGAACAAAGACTACTATCCTACCCGTATTCCTCGTGAACTATTGTCCAAGATGCAGCTCTTCTCATCCGAGGACAGCAGAGGGTCAAATGAAGACGTTAATAATCGGAATAACAGCTGCAACTAATTTTGGAGGCAAAGACAAGGGCTATTTGTCTGAACGAAAGAGTACCATCCTATCTCCAAAATTATGTATGTCATCCAAGCTGCAGCTCCTCATCCAAGAATATAGCAGACCTTAAATGACTCTGATAATAATCGCAATAATAGTAGCATCTAGTTTTGGAAACTGGCGCCTGCTTGGTCCTGCAGTGTTGTCGAAAACCACCTATGTATCTCCATCTGAGCAGCACTGTCATAGAAGAGCACAGTCCATCTGCATTCTTTGTAACTGTACATCTGAAACATTTGATCTGCTACTGCAGTCGTTGTTTGGTACAGAAAGCTCTTCTTACTCTGGGGGAATGCATCTGCATGTTGTATTAAGAACAGGAAAGGAAATTGTCGGATGTAGGATCATGAGGTGCTGATGGTTCGCACCTGCGATCTGGGCTATAACCCAGGTGTCTACTGAATTAGCTAAACCTCATAGTGTGCAACATATGTTTGGTAACTGGTTAGAAGGTATTAGTAATAGTCTCAAGGCAGCCCCCACTTGTTGGTCCCTATGGTTAAGCAAAGATGCTATTATTTTTTAAAAGAAGAATTCTATTTCTCTTGTGCAGGTTATATACTCAATTATCCATTGGCTTTGTACTTGGTCCATTCTCTGGAAGCTGTATTTGCAGGGTTTGGTTGTGGCGGCATCGCAACAATTGGGATAGATGATCTAGGATATTTTTTCCCAGGCGCGTGCGCCGGAAGCGCTTTTCAAGACTTTGTATCATCTCGATGTGAAGTGCTTGAAATCTATAAAAGCTTCCTTTATAAAAAAAAGGGAAATAGGAGGGTGAATCAAAGATTGGTTGAAGAGGAAATTCATATCCCCTTTTGGTGTGAGTTTTTAAGAAATTAAAGGACAAACCATGATCAATAGTGAGGATGTTTTCATCTTTCATTATAAACATAATTCCTATCCAATTTCGACCTGTTCCCAAGGGAATTGATTAGTGGAGTTGGTCCTATAAACCCCCCTCTTTCCACCAAAACTTCCACAACCATGAAATAAAGAAAAGATTTCTAAACTCCAAACTGTTATTTTCTCCTTTCAACTACCACCGACACAAAGTGTCATCTATAGTTCAATACTTGAATCCAAACTCTTATTCCCTCCTTTCAATTACCCATAACTAAATCTGTCATCTATGGTCCAATACTCCAAACATGACAGGTGTTTTGTTGTTGCTGGTTATATACCCCCAATTTGGATCTTAACTTCCTCGTGTCTAAAGAAGGTGCCACGTATGATTTTATCCGATGTGGAAAGGAAAGAAAGAGGAGTAAAAAGATGTCATCTAGTAATTAACAAATGGTCTGAGAACACAAGAGAAATCTCTTAGACTGGTCCTAGCATGAGTTTCATTCCTATTTAATAAGGTGATACACCACCACCACAACAACAACAACAACAACAAAGCCTTTAAGTCCCAAACAAGTTGGGGTAGGCTAGAGTTGAAACCCAGCATAAGTCATCAAGGTTCAGGCACGTAAATAGTTGTTTTCCAAGCACTCCTATCTAAGGCTAAGTCTTTGGGTATATTCCATCCTTTCAAGTCCCTTTTATTGCCTCTACCCAAGTCAACTTCGGTCTTCCTCTGCCTCTCTTCACATTACTATCCTGGCTTAGGATTCCACTACGCACCGGTGTCTCTGAAGGTCTCCGTTGGACATGTCCAAACCATCTCAACCGGTGTTGGACAAGCTTTTCTTCAATTGGTGCTACCCCTAATCTATCACGTATATCATCGTTCTGAACTCGATCCCTTCTTGTATGACCGCAAATCCAACGCAACATACGCATTTCCGCGACACATATCTGTTGAACATGTTGTCTTTTCGTAGGCCAACATTCTGCACCATACAACATAGCAGGTCTAATCGCCGTCCTATAAAACTTGCCTTTTAGCTTCTGTGGTACCCTTTTGTCACATAGGACACCAGATATTTGGCGCCACTTCATCCACCCTGCTTTGATTCTATGGCTAACATCTTCATCAATATCCCCATCTCTCTGTAGCATTGATCCAAAATATCGAAAGGTATCCTTCCTAGGCACTACTTGACCTTCTAAACTAATATCTTCTTTCTCCCGAGTAGTAGTGCCGAAGTCACATCTCATATACTCAGTTTTAGTTCTACTGAGTCTAAAACCTTTGGACTCCAAAGTCTCCCGCCATAACTCCAGTTTCTGATTCACTCCTGTCCGGCTTTCATCAACTAGCACTACATCGTCCGCGAAAAGCATACACCAAGGGATGTCCCCTTGTATGTCCCTTGTGACATCATCCATCACTAATGCAAACAGATAAGGGCTCAAAGCTGACCCTTGATGTAGTCCTATCCTAATCGGGAAGTCATCAGTGTCTCCATCACTTGTTCGAACACTAGTCACAACATTGTTGTACATGTTCTTAATGAGCCCGGCATACTTCGTTGGGACTTTATGTTTGTCCAAAGCCCACCACATAACATTCCTTGGTATTTTATCATAAGCCTTCTCTAAGTCAATAAAAACCATGTGTAGGTCATTCTTCTCCCTATACCGCTCCATAACTTGTCTTATTAAGAAAATAGCTTCCATGGTTGACCTTCCAGGCATGAAACCAAATTGGTTCATAGAGACCCGTGTTATTGCTCTCAAGGGATGCTCGATAACTCTCTCCCATAGCTTCATAGTATGGCTCATCAACTTAATTCCCCGGTAATTAGTACAACTTTGAATATCCCCTTTATTCTTAAAGATCGGTACCAATATACTTCTCCTCCACTCATCAGGCATCTTGTTCGATCGAAAAATATGGTTGAACGGCTTGGTTAGCCATGCTATAGCTATGTCCCTGAGGCATCTCCACACCTCGATTGGGATACCATCCGGTCCCATCGCCTTACATTCTTTCATCCTTTTCAACGCCTCTCTGACCTCAGATTCTTGGATTCTCTGCACAAAGCGCCTATTGGTGTCATCAAAAGAGTCATCCAACTGAAAGGTTGTGTCCGTATTCTCACCATTGAACAATTTGTCAAAATACTCTTGCTATCGATGTCGGATCTCATCCTCCTTCACCAAGATAATGATATGACATGTAAATTATTAGGAGAGAGAAGAGATGTGTTTCATCTAAGGGTCCGTTTGGATGTAGATATTAGAGATCCTGGAATTGCATTGGTACCAATATCAAATCAGACTGGTATTGGAAATGTATTGTAATACCAAATCTGTTATTTGGATGTGGATGAATTTGCTGGCTGGAATCTATTGACTTGGCAAATACCAATTCATGTTTGGATGTGCACATCATGAAATTGATTTCTCCCACCTCCCTCACAAATCACATGGCCCTGGCAGCGCAAAAGATAGCCGCGATCCCACGAGCAGTAGTGCCCACCTCGCCGACGTGGAAGATAGCAGCAAGCGGGCTCCCTCGTGTGGAGTATCCGGGCACCCCGACAGCACGGAAGATGGCAATGAGCGGGCTCCCTCGGCGCGTCGCGAGCAGACTCGGGCACTCCGTCGACGAACGCAGAGGCGGCCGCAAGCGGACTCAGGCTTGGCCCTCGCGGCACGGAGGAAGGCCGCGAGCGAGCTCAGGCACGACCCAACACGTAGAGGATGCACGAAGAAGCTTGAGCTCGGGCCCTTCCGGATCTGAGGATGGACGCCCACCGCGACAGGTGATGACAGGGGAGAAGGGAGCTCGACAGGGTAGGGGAAGCAGTGACGGGGGAGAAGAGAGCTCGACGCCAGCACTGAGGAGGGAGCTGCCTCGCCGCAGGTCTTGGTGGATCTGAGGGGCCCCGGTGAGGAGGACGAAGGGGCTGGCTGCGAGGGTGGAGGAGCTCTGGCGAGGAGGACGAAGGGACTGGCTAAGAGGGACGGAGGGGCCGGCGCTGGAGTTGGAGATGACGAGAGACGGAGGGGATGTGATTCCATCCAATATGGAGGGTCTCGGCTTGGCATCGCTTTGGGGTCGTGCTACGTGAAGCGAATGCCACGCGGAATCGCGCTCAGTTTCTAGACTCCAATGCCAAGACCATCCAAACACGTGGAATTCGGGTCTACTATTTCCAATTCCAATGCCATGGCCTCAATGCAGACATCCAAACGGTGTGTAAATGAAATCTACCGCGCACTATTTCCAATGCATTGTAAACTAAGTAAAACCCCACTCGGAGTGTTTTGTTTCATGCCCACACTTGAAAACTGAGTGAAACTTCATCAGAACCATTTCATTTCATAACATCAAACAATATTTAAATGCATAACACGGTGGGCGCCAATGTTGGGAAATAGGGATCCCAACAAAGAGACAGAGAATGAGAGACGAGCTCGTTGCGGCTCGACTCCCGGATGTCGAAGGCCCCGCTCTGGGGCAGGGGCCTTCAACTAGCAGAGGCCGAATAGAGAAACGAACTTCACGCAATTACCGAGGTGACAATTAGGGTTTTGAATTACATGCCATCCCCTCTCTCTTGGATGACTGACTTCCTCCTTTTATAGGGTACGGCTACATTGTTTGTCGAGTACAGAAATGCCCCTAGGGCAACTAAGGTATATTATGGTATATTCTACACTGTGCTCATGCCTTCAGGGCATCAGAGTCTTTTTCTTTTGCTACCGCCTTTGTTGATGGGCCATTGTCGAGCATGGGCCTTCAGCCCATTATTCGTCGCACCACAGCCTCCAACTAATCTTCGCAGTGCGACCTCTGACTTTTCATCATAGCCTCTCACTGATCTTCATAGAGCCTCGACCTCTGACTTTTCATCGCGGCCTTTGACTGATCTTCAAATTGCCTTGACCTTCATCTTCCCATCACGGCCTCTGACTTCATAGCGCCTCGGCCTCCGACTTTTCACCGTGGCCTCTGACTTCATCTTCGCAACACTCCGGCCTCTAACTTCTCATCGCGGCTTCTCACTGATCTTCATAGCACCTTGGCCTCTAACTTTCCGTCGCGGCCTCTGACT